GTGTGTGTGTGTGTGTGTGTGTGTGTGTGTGAGGTGAATATCGGGGGTTCAGTAGGGTAGAGAAGGCCCAGTTGTGTGTGTGCATGTGTGTTTATGTCAGTGTAACCAAACTGCATGTCACTCCCTACCAGGAAGTTTCTTTGGCAGGTTGATGTTGCCGTACTCCTCAGAAAAATGCACCCTTTCTGTGGCCGGGCAAAGCAGACCCATGGAGGTGAGGACGGGTACATGGATGTCTGAAAACTCAAGGCCAGACGAGGAGTGTTGCTTGATGAAAACCAGGTAACTCACAACCACAGACTCAGGCTTCGACTTGTGTTGGAATCAGCAGGATTGCCAAAGGAAAAATAAAAAAGAAAAAGAAGCAAACTCTTCAGGAATAACAGTACACAGGGACAATAAAAAAAAATTGTCCTAAATTAATTGTAATATTGTCTCCTGTACCTTCCATTTGTTACTCTTTATTGCAGGATAGATGTGCTGCTCCAGCAGCTCTTGGGGCTCCAGTTCATGAACTCCGAGTCTTTTGAGCAGCTCTCGAACCTGTTGGTTCTCCAGGGGTTCCAAACAGTTCAGCAGGGAGGGATGTATCACGCTTACGTCCTTGTATAATGCAGACAGTGGCTCTGTTAAAAAGAGCAAGCACAGGTCAGATATGTATTAGCACTGTTGTAGTGAATAGGACAATTGGGTTAGTTATATGTTAGAATTGAAGCAGACATAAACAGTAAGTTTTATTTGGATCCAAAAAACTAACATTATTCTGTAGAAACCAGATGTGTCTCATTAAAAATAAACTGTGAGAAAAATGGGTAAAAAGTAGAGTTTTGGTTACAGTAAGTTTTATTTAGTTTAAATTACTGCAGGCGTGTCATCAGGACTTAAAAATGTCTGTCAACCTGTAAGATATGAACATACATCTATTTGTTAATGGTTATTGTATGAGGGGCATATTGATTTTTGATATCCTGACTTACAGAAAAATTCTATGACCTACTTTTCTAMTTTCTGAGGCTGGTTGTGAAGCCTCAATTCCCCACTGAAGTCTGTACTGCTCAATATTTCAAAAGAACACCGTCTTTAACTTAGCTGTCTCTTTAAAGCTATCAAACACATCTTCGTCCACTTGACTTCACCTCGAAGCACAGCCTAAGCTTCGTGCTGCACACTCCACTCACTGAGATCTGCTTCCAGCTCCAGTCTCTGACCTGAAAAGCAGCTCTGCACGGTCACCAACTCTGTTTCTTCACGTCCACTRATTTCTCTGACAGAGTCATGCAAACCAAACGGAGCACACTGCTGAAACGCAGAGTTCCTGATTTGATCATTTAATTTAGATCTTTTAGTCACTTCAGTTAATGATCACTCTGTTTTTGAGCTGCAAAATTTTACCACACCTTTATTACGTCCCCGCACGCGAAGCGTAAGCGGGAGTCATATTCTTTTCGTACTGTTTATATATATATATATATATAT